TCAGAACTCTCAGGGCCGTAGCTGGGGGCCTAATGGGGGCGGGTGGTGCTTCTCACGTTATTGGTTTCCTGTATACCCACGAGGATCCTAGCTTTGACCCCGTAGTCGACGCTACGATCCTGCTAGCGTTCAGATATTGCTGCTGGGTCTGGGATCGGAAAGCGCCCGGTTCTGGCCTGCGAGTTTCCTGCTCGGCGGCTCGAGCTCGTTCGCGCGATCGCCTTCGCTGGGATCGCGTTCAGGAGCCCATAGGGGCGGTAATTTTATCGTTGCGGCGAGTTGGGTGGGATTAAATTTCTCACCATCAACTCAGGGCGGACCAGGGTGATATCATTTCTCTGTTCACCGTTTGCCCCTGGGATGTCAAGCAGCGTTTGCGCGAGGGCATCAGTCGCGCCCAGGTGCGGCAGATTTTGGAGGCGATTTCCGAGGCTTGCGGTGATGAGCCTGTCTGAGGGCGCGCGCTCAGACTCGGGGTATTGGCTGTTAAGGGCCCTCCATGGCAAGCGGCCCCGAGTCCTGATCAGCGAGGAACTTTGGCCGCCAGCCAAGAAGCATCAGCATGGCTACGTAGCCGGCCCCAAGTGCGAATTCGGTTGCGATGCTCTTGGCACTTTCGGTCACCAGTGGTATAAGTGTAAGCGAGTTTGGGAACCCAGTGATGACCCAGCCGAGGCACCCTTGTTTCCAGACGACGTGATTGAGCATGTGAATTGGCTGCGTGACAAAGCGAAAGGTACCCCCCCCCGACTTCGACACTTTGGAGTTGGCGCAGGGTGCTCCTCTCCCCCCCCTCAGCATTGCTCCTGTCCCAGCCGCGTATTCTCCCCAGTTCTGGGGTGTCGCGATCATGCCGTGGGGCTTTCAGCTTTTTACCGGCGGTTCTGGGCTTTCGAACGGTCTACCCGAAGCTTGCCGCTGCGGGTGGGCCGTGGTCGAGCTCAGTCCTGGGGGCTGGCCCATTCGGGCATGTTTTGGGCCCCTTCCAGGGGCCATCCAGACCGTCCCCGGGGCCGAAAGTTATGCGTTGCTGCAGGCGGTCCGCCTCGGCCCGAGACGAGTTTAGATTATCAGTGATCACCTCTCTGCGGTGCAAGAGGCATCGAGCTGGTTTGCCGAGCTGGCTACAGGTTGTCGCAGTCATGCGTGCATCTGGCGAGAGTTGTTTCAGTTGTGTCCAGCAGGAGCTCCGCCCAGTGAGAGGCTCCGAGTCCGCTGGGCCCCGGCCCGCGGAGACCTCGACTCCCTCCTGTTTGGCCAGGGCGCCTCGAGACTGGATCGAACCGTGGACGCTGCGGTTTTCGGTTATCTGGGGAACAGGTGGGCCGAATTCTTTGCTATGCTGGGGGCGAAGCAGCATGGCGTTGCTAACGTCGCCACCGCCACTTTAAAAGCGCATTTGAGGGGCGTGAAAAAGACGTGCCGGTTTCTGGGTCAGTTTGTCGCGTCTCAGGCTGATTCCTCTTCCATGTCTGCGAGGCCCCGCCGTGACCCCGTGGCGTTGCCTCAGCTGTCCCTCGTTTCTCACGACCTGGAGGTGACGGAGAGTGTGTGTGTGTGTGCGTGTGTGTGTGTGTGTGTGTGTGTGTGTGTGTGTGTGTGTGTGTGTGTGTGTGTGTGTGTGTGTGTGGGGGGGGGCGGGGGAGGTGTACGTGGTGCCGCTGCTCAGGGGAGACTCCGCTCTCTCGAGCAAAGCTTGAGCAGCCTGGCAAGAAGTGTGACCCCCCGCCGCTCCACTAGTATCTCGCAGCTGTCAGCGCCGAGCGTCACAATGGCCTCCTCCCTAGGGCGTGCCTGGAACGCCTGTCGTGAGCTGGGGCTCACTTATGATGGCCTGCACGCGCAGGCTCTGGAAACTCTCGAGTATCGGGGCCAATGCGTGCAGGCCACAGCCAAGTTTTTGACGTGCCGCCGTTGTGGCGCCCGTGCCCCCATCGAGGCCCCAGTGTGGAGGGGCCTTTTGGCGGACTGCCGAGGCCATGCTGAGAGGGCCTGAGTGCAGTCCTGGCGCATGATGCTGCTCCAGCGGGTCGCGTGGCAGGCAGCGGCTGGTGCCGTGGTGCTGCTTGCCAACGCGGCCTGTGCCCTAGTGGCCCTCGGCCTGTGCGGTGGGCTGCGGGACCGTGACGCACGGGAATCCCGTGCTCTCCACCTTTTCCCCTTGCCTGCCAGCCCTCATCCGAAGCGGATGTTGCGCCTCGGCCTGATCCCTGATCCCTCCTGGCGGCCCTGGGGTCTCTTGGGGCGTCTCGTGTGCCTCGGGTGCCTCGGGGGGCCCTTGTGGGGGTCAGTTGGGGGCCCCTTGAGGACCTCTTGGAGGCCTCTGGCCCCCCTGGGCGCCCCTTGGGCCCTCTTGGGGCCCTCTTGGGACCCTCTTGGGGCATTCTTGGGTGTGGGGCGATTTGGGGGGAGTTGGATCAAAGAAGGGGGGGGAGGTGCCACATAGGCGTCGCCCGCGCCCCCGCCCCCCCAAGGAGGCCAACATTAGCTTAACACTTACCCGATGCCTTCCTGGGCGCTCCAATCGGTCGCGACGCCCCCCATCCATGTCCAGGGGGGGGGTAGGAGGAGGGGTCAAGTTCCTAGCGGGAATGCCGCATGCTGAGTCGCTCACTTTCACCCGCCCTCCCACTACATCAGTAGCACCCGAGTCTCAGCATAGGCAGGGGCCGCCATCGACAACCGTGGGGAACCGATGCAGGCGCCAGCCAGGTGCGCGACGCCCGCGAGGTGCGCCGCACATGCCAGGTGCGTCAAGCGCACCAGGTGCGCCACATTGGGCAATCTGTCGACCCCCACCATCCCTGTCGCAAGCGAATGCACAGTGACGGCGCGTTTGCCAGCATTGTGTGTGTGTGTGTGTGTGCGCGTGCGTACGTGCGTGCGTGCGTGCGTGCGTGCGTGCGTGCGTGCGTGCGTGCGTGCGTGCGTGCGTGCGTGTGTGCGTTGCTGCGTGCGTGCGTGCGTTCGTGCGTATGAACGTGTGTGTGTGTGTGTGTGTGTGTGTTTTTTTGTGTGTGTGTGTGTGTGTGTGTGTGTGTGTGTGTGTGTGTTTGACCGCGTAATCACTGTGCACCTGCTTTTGGGAGGGATGGCAGGCCGGCACACCAGGCAATCTACTGGCCCCTCCGCCGTCCCTTTCAACCGCCAAGTCACAGTTATCGCAGGGCGCCCGCGCATGATCTTGATCTTGGTGCACCGTGCACTTAGCACACTGTTTTGTTGCAAGATTGTGGGGATGTTGGCATTGCACGCAGCAGGCAATACGCCGACACCTCCGCCATCCCTGTCACCGACCAATGCAACGTGATCGTGGGGCGTCCACGCAAGATCCTGATTTTGGTGCACGGCGCATTTTCCTTTACAAGGCATGGTGGTAGGGGGTGGCAGTGTCCATGGTTTGTCGCCGGTCGGATGGGGGAGGGGTGTTTGTTCATAAGGGACAGTGATCAACCCCTCCCAGAAGGACAAGAGAAGGGGGGATGGAAGAGGAAAAACTCTAAACCACTGGCGCACTGAAGTGTTCGTGGGATTTAGCCTTCTCCCGCACTGTAGTGCACATGCTGCTGCCTGGGCCTTACAACAAAGCCCAATCCCTGAGCTGAGCCCCAGCCCACATCCTCTTCCCTGGCCTCGAGGTCCTTCCTGATCCCAGATCCTAATCCTACTCCCAAGCCCTTTCCCCCGACACCTCAGACTCTTCCGCCCGGCCGCGCTGGATTCAAAACCCCTGGTTTCTGACCAGTGAGGGGCGGGCTCCCCGCCGTGTTGTGCGCATGGCGCCAAGACAGAGGACCTCGATCGCCCCAAAACGGTCCCTGCAGCCGCTTCGGGTGACTTCCTGACCTGTTTTCGTAGCCGCGCCCAGCCGTCGCGACGAGTGGGGTCTTCCGAAGGTCTTAGCACTTTTCAGTGGGATGCTGTGGATTTTCCTCCAGCAGCGTTTCAGAATCGAGGGTTCTAGCGGAGTTTTGAAAAGACCACGCAGAAGACCCACAGGGGGATGAGGAGAGCTAGGGGGCCAGACTTCCGGAGTCGCCGTTTCGCCTCAGACGTCCTCACGGTGTATTCCGGAATCGTGCTCTCGCTTCCATGCCAGCTGTACATGTTTTGTCCGGACGGCCACGATTTTTGGTACAACAATACACGACGGTGCGCATGGCCAGGCTCGCACCCCTGTCAGACCGCCACGATCCCTGGTGCAAAAATAAGCCACGGTGCACGTGTCCGTGCGCTCACCCCTGTCACGTGGCCACGATCCCTCTCAAAAAATACACTACGGTGCACAAGCCCGCGTTCTCACCCCTGTCACGTGGCCACGATCCTTCGCCGAAAATGCACTAAGGTGCAGGCCGTGCTCTCACCCTTGTCCCTTGTCAAGTGGCCACGATCCCCCTTAGAAAATACACTACTTTGCACATGGTCGTGCTCTCGCTCTTGTCGCACAGCTACGGTCCGTGGTCCCAACATACACTACGGTGCACATGGTCGTGCTCTCACTCCTGTCACACAGCCACGATCCTTTGTAACAAGTGGCCGTGCTCTCACCCTTGTCACACGGCCACGATCCTGGGTAACATAACGTGTACTACGTTGCGCATAGTTGGGCTCTCACCCCTGTCGCGCCCAGGAATCCTTGGGACTCTGTAGGACTACACGTTTTCACGTTTTCACTAGCCGACCTTCTACGTCTCGACCCGCCTCTGCACCTTCGCTACTATTAGGGTGCTTAGCTGGGGCATCTGCTTGCTCACGACGTCCAGATGTGTGGGTCCGCCTCCTCCGTTGAGGGGCTGGCAACGCCGCCCGTCGCCGCCGCCATCGTCGTCGTCGCCGCCTCTGCCATCGCCGTCGACGTCGCCGCCGCCCGCCGCCCTAGCCGCCGCCGCCGCCATCTCCGCCGCCGCCGCCGCCATCGTCTTCGTCGTCGTCGCCGCCGTTAACCGCCGCCGCCGCCATCGTCGTCGTCGTCGTTGTCGTCGTCATCGTCGTCGTCGCAGGGGCCACGGCGCCGCCGCCCGCCGCCCTGGTGCTGGACGCGGACTTCTGAGCGGGAGCCCTCCTTCAGAGGCAACGGCATGGGGGGACAGGCAGTTCGTTGAAAGAAGTCGGCTGCGAGCCTGGGGGGGAAGTTTCGAAGTTTTCGGGCGTCGTCGTCGGTTCTCGGCGGTTTTCTAGCCTCGGGCTGCGTTCCGGCGGCTGCGCCTCGCCGAGGGCGTTCCAGGGGTGCCAGGATCGTCCCGAACGGCCGCGGGAGATCAGAGCCCCGAATCATCAGGGGAACTCGGGTCAGGGCTAACTCGGGGTCGTTTTTCGGGATTGCGAACCCGGGTCACCCCGGGCCCGAGTTACCCAGGATAATTCGGGTGCCCAGAGCCCCAGATAGTTAGGGGCAACTCGGGTCAGGGCTGACTTGGGTTGGTTTTTCGGGAATCCGAATCCGAGTCACCTACCTGGGGCCCCAGCTACCCCGGATATTTCGGGCGTCCAGAGCCCCAAATCACCAGAGGTAATTCGGGTCAGGGCAGTCTTGGGCTCGTTTTTCGGGAATACAAGCCCGAGTTACCCCCGACCCGAGTTACCCCGGATGACGCGGGGGTCCCCAAACGGGGTGGTGACCGCACCGTGCGGTTAGTCGGTGGGGATTCGGGGTCACCGCACGGTTTTGGGACTCGGGTCGTTCTCCGAGGACGCCTCGGGCGATTGGGGCATCCGAGGCCCCAACACCGTGCGTTGGTGGACGGACCTTGCGGTGAGGTCTCGGGGGATCTCGAGATCACCGCACGGTTTGTCGCCGCACCGTTTCGGGACTCCGAGATCATTCGGGCGCCCAGGGAGAGCCGAGTGATGGCCTCAAGGCCACCCGTCGTCCGAGAGGGGGCGGGCCAAGGCCGCAGGGCTTCTGGGAGGCCTCGCCGCCTGTCGAGAAGGCCTCCTCCTCCTCCTCCTCCTCCTCCTCCTCACTTCCCCCCCCCTGGGCTTGTGGTGTTCCAACCTGTTTTAGCCTCGATCGCCAGAAATAATTTCGAGCACCAAGAAAAGTACCGAACCTGGGGGGTTTTCACGTGCCGGGCCCTTGGAGGCGATACTCGTTCGACACTGTTTCGATAACTTTTCTGGGTGCTCGAAATTCTCGTTGGGATGTAGTCCTTAAGTGCGATGAGAGCAACTTAACCCTTGGCATCGCTCGGGCGTGTGCGTTTTTTCTCGGCGAGGATTGCCGAGGAGCATCTTGGATCACCCTGCGGAAAGCGCGCACGAAGTCGAGAAGTACACGGGGAGCGAGTGGACGTCCGAGCGATGCCAAGCCCCGCGCTCGCCGCCGAAATGAGGTTCAGTTCGAGGTCGGGGGGGGGGCTCGGTGGTTCCTTGGGTCTGCCGGTGTTGCTTTTGGCTTCTGTGGTGGCGAGCCCGCCCGGTGCTCTTGCGGATCATGCAGCCGTTCCTTCGGGTTGTCCGGCGCGGCTTGGAAGGCAAGGGGTTTCGTTCCTTCTTGATCGTTCTTTCTTTCAGCAGCCTGACTGTACAGTGCCGTTTTTGATACATGCTCCGCGTGCGGATCATGTGTTCAACATGCAGGGATTTAGTATCAAAAACAACGATGAGTTCATGCATATTTTTATTCATACATGAAGCATGTATTTAGAACCTGGTAAATTTAAAGATCCAATGTATTACAAATTGCCCTGTATGCTCAGGGGGCGGCGCACGGACGCCCAGTCGCCCACTGTGATGCCCGGGAGGGCCCGACGGCCCGCCCCGCCCATGGAGCGTGCGGATGATCTCATCGAGGAGGAAGGAGCCCTGACCCTCGTAACACGGTGACGACGTGGCCTCACTCGGGTCCCCGCCGTTGCATTTTTGAGGGGATATTCCGTCTGGGCGGTTTCAGGAGCGAAAGAAGGACGTACGTGTACATGAATCCACGCTGGTTTCGAGAGCACGCATTGCACAAATGTTCGTATAACGCGGCCGGTCTCGCGAATCGAGGGGCCGTGTTCATGTACATAGCTCGGCGCGTACGTCCTTTGTGGGCTCCCTACGGTTTGGTTTGATGCATCCGCAGAGAAGCCCCCCCATTATCCCTAAAGTTTTTGGCCCTCAGGTCCCCTCCCAGATGGTTGGGGGTCCTTGTGTTGCTAACCATTCTCGCTCTCGGGGACCTGCCGCTAATCTGTCGGCGATGCAGCGCCGATTCAGGCTCGATGCTCCCCCCCCTCCCTGAGCCAGGCCCCCCCCTGACGCCGCCCCTCAGGTCGGGGGTCGCCAAAGGTGCCCCTGGCCCAGGGTGCCACCAGTTTTGCGGTCAAGATTGGAGCCCCTCGGGCCCTCTGGGCCTCGTGAGGGGTGCCCTCTGGGGACCCTGGGGGCCTCCTTGGTCCTTGGAAGTCCCGGGGGCAGCCGGGGGCCAGGGGCACTGCCGGCACCCCCCGAGACCGCGAGCCTCCGCCACCGCCGAGCGCCGCGCGCGGTCCGCGGTCCGCTGGCCGTGCCCTTGGGGCTCGGGGCGGAAAGCGCGCGCGCGGCCGCCCCGAGCGCGTCCCAAAGGGGCGGAGGGGTCCCTGGCTGTCTTGCGTCGCGGTCGGAAGGGAAGACGAGCTTCGACCAGTGCCAACTGGGACTCCGAGATCGCCACGGGGGCATTTTAAAGAGAGAGGCCGCTGGCCCTGTCTCAGCGCCACGGAGATCCTCGAGCAGTTCGTGAGCCGCAGGTGCACCCACAAGCGCGCACACGTGCACGTCGAGGGCCACAACAGCACCGACGCCCAGATCTGGCCATGGAAGATGGCCGAGCGGCCTGTCCAGCGTCCGAGGAGGGGCCGTTTTTGAGGCCCGGGCAGCCGTTGGCCTTCGGGGGGGCCGCGTGGTCGCCACGGCTGGACGCAGCGCGGGAAGCTGGCGCGGCCTGGACCCACAGGAGCATCCCAGGGGCCGATGTTGACTTCCCAGCGTCTCAAGCCGCCCTGCTCCCATCGGGGAAGCGCAGGACGCGGGTGCGCCGGAACTCGGGTCTGAGGACGCTTTCTGGCGAGCCCGTCTGGGATTTTGGCGGTCCCGTTTTCGCAGGGGAGCTGCAGCGAGGGCTCGCGTCGAAATTCAAGCTGGGTCGCGCCATTTTCGTGATGGCCCCGTCAGGCCAACCCGGGTTCCCCCGAACCCGAGTCTTACGTCTTCGCGATCCGAGAGGGGGGGCGAACCTTCTCAGAAGGCGGCGGGGCTTCTCGGAAGCCCTCCGGCCTTCTGAGAACTGTTCTGTGTCTTTGGGGAAGGCGCAGAGAACTTCTCAGGAGGCCCTTGGCTTTCCGAGCCTTCTGAGGAGGCCCGCCCTTTTTCGCTTCCCCCTGGGCTCGCCGCCGAGACGAGTCTCATGGCGCCCGGCCCTTATCAGCCGAAAAGGCTTGTGGCCGATAGATATATGTGACCGACAACGTGCGCGAAATTGCATCCGAAACCATAGCGTGCCCGGAGCTGTGACCGAAGTTGACACTCGTATTGGTTTCGAGCCAAAAAGTTGGGTCACTCCTAGGCGCGTGCGGAAAGGTTCGGGAGCCAGTTTCGATCACAGTCGGCCAGATTTTTGGGCACAGTCTCGGTCATCATGTCCCCCGACAAAGACGGGGCTACGAGAAGAGTATCGAGGACTCTCCGCGTGGGAGGTACGTGAGAGACGAGGCTACGTGGGAGCCCGTCGGCGTGTCACTCCTGCGTTTCGGTTCGCGGGCAGTGCTGTTCCCTCTGCAGTAGCAAGCGTGCGGCTTCTCCACGGAAGCGTGCCGTTTATATTTTTTTCCCAGAAAGGGCAGAAGCCCAGGGTTCTATTTTAGCTGTTTGCCCCCAGGATCGCTAGACAAAAAACGAGGTAAAGTCCAACTCGGCGTGGAAAACATGCGTTTTGCGCGTGCCCGCTCGAGGAACATGTGTCCCGTATTTCGGATTTTCTATCAATGCCGGAGTCCGCAACGACACGTCTCCCCCGTAGAAGAAAGGGTGCGGAGCGTTTTTAATGCAGAATCCACGATCAAACACGAGGTTTGGAGGTTTTGAAATTTGCCAGAAAATGAACAAACGCACTTTTTGCGTGCCCGCTCGAGGACGGCGCGCGCTGCGCGCCGAATATCAGAAGATGCTTCGAGCGGAGCGCTTGGTGTGCGGAACTCGAGCGGCCTGGGCTTTCCAGGATGCCCAGGTGGTTCCTGGGAGCCCGAGCGCGGCGTCATTTACGGGGGGAGCGTGGCCCATGGGAGCGCGGAAACACGGCGTGATTCACGATGGGAGCGCGGACAGAGCGTAAATTCACGAGGGAACACGGCCCTGGGAGCGCGGACGCAGCGCAGTCTACGATGGATCGTGGCCCTGGGAGAGCAGGGAGAGCGAGCGCAGGGTATTTTACATGCGATCGTGGCCCTGGGAGCGCGAACGCAGCGTACTCTACGTGGGATCGTGCGTGGCCCTGGGAGCGCGGACGCGGTCCAATTTCACGATGGATCGGGGCCCGTGGACCGCGGACGCCGCGTAATCAGCAGGGGACTCTGGCTCTGGGTCGGGGACGTCCCGTGGCACGTTCCCTGGCGCGTTCCCTGGCACGTCCCCTGAAGCGTCGCCTGGCACGTTCCCTGGCACGTTCCGTGGCGCGTCCCGTGGCGAGTCCACCTGGCACGGCGCGCGGCACGTGCCCTGGCACGTCCCGTGGCACGTCCACTGGCACGTTCCGTGGCGCGTCCCCTTGGCACGTCCCGCGGTGCGACCCCACGGCGCGTCCCCTGGCACGTCGCCTGGCGCACCCCTTGGGACGTTCCGCGGCGAGTCCCCCTGACGTCGCCCAGTTGCCTATGAAATTGAGGGCCTTCGAGACGATTGCATGCCTCGCAGTTCTCAATCCCTTCCCCGGATCGTGGGTCGATCATGTTGCTTCCCGCCTCTGGAGGCCCCCGGAGGCCAGAGACCTCCGCGGACCTCCGGAGGCCTCGGAGACTTGCGGGGGTCCAGGCCTCCTCTACCCCCAGAAGCTCGAGACGGCCCGCTTTTTCTCTGCTAGCGTTTCACGACGGAGGGTTCGAGTGGAGGTGCAAGATGACCACACGGAAGACCCACACGTAGGGACGGTCTGAAGCTTGCGGCGTTCCACAGCCGCTGGTGTATCTTTGTTCCCTACTTTCTCCCTGCCATCTCTCTCTCTCTAGGGCAGGTGCACGTGTGCGCACCTCAGCCATTTGTAAGCAAGCTACGGCCGCGAAAGAGACGCACATGCACAGCCAACGAAGCACACACGAGGATTTGGACTGGCAGCGGAGCGTGAGGCGCTCTCGCGCTCCCGACGTTCGCGCGAGGGAGGACAGCAGTCCCACGGAAAAGGTCCCAGTCTGTGGCGATCGCGCGGAGTCACGCGAGACTGATGTGGGGCTCCTGGTTCTGGGGGCCAGGGATGAGCAGCGGCACCTGATCGGACCGGGACTGACTTGAGCGCTGCCTTCACGATCAGCGCAGAGGAAGTTTGGCCATGAGACTGCGCAAACAGACCAGATGCGGTCGTTGATAATTGACGAGCGAACAACTCACACCCATACCCATAGGAGGGTCGAAAGGAGGGGAACTGGCTATGGGTACGGGTGCGAGTTGTCGGACCTAGGGGAAGCTCCCGTTCGAGCGGGGACCCCCATCCGACAACACGCATCCATAGCCTCCTCCGTCCCCCCATATGGGTATGGGTGCGTGTTGTTCGATCGTCAATAATGGCCAACCTGTACACCCATATTCGGTAGCATGCCACGAAGGAGCTGAGAACTTGATCGAGGCCTTCCGACGGTCGCTCGGCTCTCAGGTGATTGCCGACGTGGGCGATAGGACGGACAAGCATTTCTACGGAGGTCTTGGGCGGACAGCTGTCATGCGGAAGCACGGCCAGACCCTGCCCCAGTGGATCGAGACGTAAGAGGACCTCTATCATGAGCTGTTAAAGGCCTACGAGACGATCGCGCCGAACCTCGAGGAGATTCTGGCAGATCAGGTACGCGGAGTGCTGCTGTGGCGGGATGCAGGTCTGTCGGCTACGGAGCGAGTTTCACTCAGCACCGCGATCAACGGCGAGCGGACGAGAGAGAAGGTGACGAAGCTGCTGAAGAGTACGTGGGCTGATCAGGACCTGCTGGCGAAAGGTCGTTCCCGTCAGCGTGGACAGGCCCCGCAGGGTAGACCGCCTCATGCTCACGCGCACTTCCAGGACGTGGACAAAGAGTTCGACCAGTCCCATGTGAGAGCCGTCGAGGATGAGGGAGATTACAGTGCCGTTTTCAATACATGCTCCGCGTGCGGACCATGTGTTAAACATGCAGGGATCTAGTGCTAAAAACAACGAGGAGTTCATGCATAAGTTTAATCATACATGAATAATGTATTAGAAATCCTATATTTTTAAAGATCCCAAACTGCCCTATACGAGAAGCAGCTCGAGGCTTCGAGGGAGGACGACTTGCTGGGACCGGAGGAGCATGCAGCCATTGTCCGAGGGCCAGGCGCCCACGGCTCGCGCCGCACGTGGTCGGAGGCTCGCAGGGTCCTGAACGACGTGCAGTAGGCTCGTCTTGGCATCGCTCGGACGTGTGCATTTTTCCTTCGGCGAGGACCATCGAGGAACATCCTTCATCACTTGGCGAAAAAAACACGCACGAAACCCGAAAAAACACAGGGAATGGACGTCCGAGCGATGGCCAGTCGTGGCTTCTGCCCCGCGGTAGGGTTGGCTTCTCCGCCCCCCGGGTGGTCGGAGGCTTCGCTGAAGCGCGCCCAGCCAGTGCACCCAGTGGTCCACGGGGGGCGTCCGAGGGTTGCCACGAGAGGCGCGGGTCGCGCCAGGGCTGCCCAGGGCCCCGGTGGGGCCAAGGCATTGCCTCCGCCAGCGCCACGGACGCCAAGGCCACCGAGATGCTTGATCTGCCGCGGGCTTCACAAGACGGTGGACTGCCCCCGCAAGCACAAAAGGCGACGCGCAGGTGAGCTCGGTAGGTGTGGTGATCGAGGACCTGGACGAACCGACTTCCCTCGTGACTTGCGTGGCCCACTGGGCGGCCCAGACGGCGAGGTGGAGCGCGTGAGTTCGACGCCTGCGCCTGTGATGTGCGCGGTTTTTTTCCATGGGGTACCCGGTGGGGTACGCGATAGTGGACGCGGGGTCCGCCGGGTGCATGGGCGGGGCCAACCCGATCGCCCACCTCCAGCAGCAGGTCCTCGCGACCATCGAATCCGACGAGATCAAGTACGACGAGAACGTGGAGATCATTTTCACCTACGCGAACAAAACGAAGGGCAAGAGCCTGGGCGCGGCTGGAGTGCCTCACCCTCTGGCTATGAAGGCGCGGGGAGACTGCCTGTGGTTCGCCCTGGTGCCGACCGCGAGCCCGACGCTCCTGGGCTTGGACTGCTTGAAGGCCGCGGAGGCTGACGTCACGCACGACGGTTTCCTGGTGCGCAGCGACGGCCACCGCGAGAAGCTGATGGCTCTACCGATTGGCCGCTGGGGCCTACCCCTGCTCTGGCGACAGCTACGGCGCGAGCTGCAGGTGGAGTTTCCCGACCGTGCGTGCGCCTCGACGGAAAACAACCAAGGCTCCCTCCAATCTAGTCGACCTGCTCCTGCTACCACTCTCGGTCTTCAGGGTCGCACTGGGGCGCGTGGCGCGAGCGACGGCGTCGGGGGGCATCTTGAACCACAAGTGGGCCTTATTAGGCAACGGCAAGATCGCGACGCCAGGACGATTCTAACCTTTGCTGCAACACCTTCTACGACCTTCCCGAACAACACCGATGCCACCGCGCTATCTTTATGCACAATTCCCGTCAACGAGCTGTTTAGGGACAAGGAGTTCACGGGGGATCTCAACGAGGACCTCTGCAAGGCTGGGGATATTCAGGGGGGCCTCGACAAGGATCTCGACTGGGCTCGGGAGTTCAAGGGGGCTCCCAACGTGAACCTCGACCCGGCCCTCAAGCCCAAGAGGAGGTGCCCGCTCGAGACCTCCATCCAGGCTCTGGCGCCCTGCGAGGACTATCGCCCGCAAGTCCAGGGTCGGGTCTTCTCTCCCAGCTGCTGCTTGGGCTCGAGTTGCTGCATTCCGTGCCCGAGTGCGGGGCCTTTCGCGTGCCAGCTATCCCACATCCATGTCGTCAACCGACGACCCCTATGCCGACGGAGGCATGCCTCGACGATCCGATCTGGTTGGCCATCGAGTCTAGCGCCGAGGAGGGCTGCCCCCTCTCAACGCCGCCGCCTGCAGCTGCCTCATTCGGGCCAGTTGGGCCGGCCTCGGCACCGTCAGCAGCGACTCCGGGGACTGCCCGGGAGTACTTCGCGAGCGCCTGCGAGCAGAGCGTGGGGCTGTTCTTGGACCTGAACCCCCAGGCCTCCGATGCTAATCGTCGCGGGAGGGGGCAGCCGGCGAGGCCCTGATGGCAGAGGCAGCCCGCCTATGCGAATAAGAGGGTCGACTTCTCGCAGCTGGGCCCAGACTGGGAGATCGCGGATCCGACGGCGGCGGAGGTCTACAACCGGTGGAAGGCCCAGGGCCGAGTGGGTCCATGCAGCTGCGCTCCGAGTTCCGAGAGCTCCCGGCGGTCCACAACAAGCAAGCTGCTCGAGGACAGGTGGGGGTCATCTGCTCGGAAGACGCCAAGGACGACTTCCAGGAGGATGGCTTTGCGCGACTTGTGGCGGCCACTCCCAGCGAGGTAAAGGATGCGTTGGCCCTTCGAAACCGATGGCAGCCACCTCCCGCGCGGCCGCGGACACCTCGGCGACTCCGGCGACGGCGGATGCGACCAGCTCCAGCAAGGAGATGAAGGTCACCGAGAAACCGCCAGTGCGCGCGCATGCCACATGCGACCCTCAGCGCGTAGTGGAGGGGCCCAAGCGGTGGCAGACCATGGTCAAGAACATCCAAGATCGAGGAGCATGAGGCCAACGCCCGCAAGCACGCCAACAACAGGCTGGATATACTGGACGGGCCAGCGACGGGGCTCGGCTGGTATCTCGGCCGCTAGAGTTTTCGCGAGATGAGGTACGCCTGGTGAAAGGGGGGCATCCAGTGCATCGGCGACTCGCTGTCCGCCAGCTTCGCCACTCTTCGCGACCTGGCTGCCATGGACGTGCTCTCCCTTGGCGTGCAGGGCGTCTACGGCATCATGAAGGAGGTCATCGCGAACGGCGGCCTGGTCTACGGGGGCAACCGAGTGACGGGATTTGACTTGGCCACGGAGGCGGGGTACCAGAGGTCATGTCATTTTGCGGGGACTGAACCCTCGGCGCGTTTTTGGCCCTCCCTGCGACGGCGCCAGCAACTCCAGCCTTGCTCGGCCGCGACAAGCTCATGCTGTCCAACCTGGCTCGGCTGGGGGAAGCGGGGGCAGACGTGCAGTTTGGTGTGGCAGCTCTCGTCCCGAAGCGATCGTGGCTCTACTGCAGCGAGGCCCCGATTCGCCGACTACGAGAGCTCTGGTGCACGCGGTCAGCAGGCCAAGGTGACGGATGCCTGCTCGCCAACTCTCATCCAGTGGGTGACCAGATGGCTCGCTCCGAACTCCGAGGCCGGGGAAGTTCCTGGCCCGGGGGGGTCACTGCTGCTGGGGCGCCGTGCTTTCGCAGCGGAGTTCATTGAGATACCCGAGGTGGGCAAACAGCAGGTGGGGGGCGCTGCGCGGGCTCTCCGGGAGCTCCACAGCCAGTGGGGGCATCCTGCAGCGGGGGCCCTCCAGGCTCTTCTACATCAGCGGGTGCCACCGTGGTGGGTGCTGCGACTCGCCGGGAAGCTCGGGTGCAGTGCGTGTGATCGATGCCAGAAGCGACAGGCCAGGCCGATCGCCGCAGGAAAGTTGGCCGAGCCCATGGAAGTGATCCAGATCGACGGCTTTGGCTGGGCCCACCCTGTGGCGGGAGTCGGGGTGCGGAGCTCTCCGATGACGGGCGAGGGCAATGGCGAGGCTCTCGCCAATGTGCGCAGCGTGATCCCCTCTGGCGGCAACGCGGGGAACGCTGCCGCCGATGAGACGTGGGGTGTTATCGCGAACGACAGGTGCCGACACTTCGGCGAGCCGATTCAGATCCGCTCGGGCCGCGAGGGCAACTGCGGGCCCCGCGATCTCCAGGATCGCGCTACCAACGCGAGCACCGCATGGGATCCCGAGCCTGCCGGGGCTCGCTGGGCGACCCGACGCGTCGAGGCCGCCGTCGGCATCGTCGAGGAGGCGGGCGGCTGCGCGAATAGCCTACCTGGATCCGACCTGTCCTGCCAAGGAGATCTTGAACTGGGCTACGCAAGGGCTACGAAAGCTCACAGCGAGATGCTCAATCGCAATGGGGTGGGCCCTGATGCGATCCTCGGGGGGCGGGCCATCCGCCCTCTTGGCAGCGCGCTGCGCGGCGCGGCCCGCCAACTGGAGGCTAAGTCCCGCAGCGGATCACCAGCCGAGGCGAGCGTGCGTCGGCGCGCGCAGGCTGGACCGTCCAAGGGGCCCAGGGCGACGAGAAGCTTCGACTGGCCAGACGTGCTCGGGGCCGTGCTCGCAGGAGTCTTCGAGCGTGGCGAGGTGGTCTTCGCGTGGAGGGGGCCTGGAGCCGAATGCCGGGCTAGGGCCCATGGGCTGCAAGGGTGCATCGGCCCAGCCGTGTTTCTCTCCCACCTCCGCGACCCTGAAGACGGGCGACATTGCGAATTCGTGCTGCTGGTCTACCGCGGCCGCGCGTTGACTGCCACCCCTCAGCAACAGAGGGCGGCCTCGGAGGCAGAGGCGACCTTCCGCGAGATGGGCGTAGATGCCGCGCGCTGTCCATCGAGTCCGAGTCTGTGGCCGACCAGCTGCGCGCCATCCAGGACCTGCGAGGGTCGGGGCCACCGCCAGGGGCAGATCCCAGCGTGCTGGCCGAGTGCGAGCCGCCACGAGGCACCGAGCCTTCACCAGGACACGATGAGGTTCCCGAGGCTGCGCCCAGCGGGTCGCCCAAAGCCCCGGCAGGGGCCGCGCCAGCTCCTGCCGACCTGCCTGCGCAACCGGTACCTCGCGTCAGGAGTCCACTGGAGGAGGGGAACCCTGGGGGCCCCCCTGAGGCGACCCCAGCTCCTGCGCAGGAGTCGACGGGGCCGAAGGCCCAGCCGCCCAAAGGACCTCCATCCTCGCCGTCGCCGACAGCGCCCATGCCAGCGAGGGGCGAATGCGACCATTTCGGCGACGTCCCCATGTGCATCCGCCAGAACTTGAAGGGGGTCAAGCGGGCCACGGGCGATGTCGGGCTCGAGCTGCCGAAATGGCAATCGGACTAGGCATGGGTGTGGGTGCTGGGGCAGCGGGCCCGCCAGCGTGGCCAACGACGAGGGCGTCTATGCGGTGTTCCTCGACCTCCCCGTGGACATGAGGACCGCTGGCAGCGGGCGCTTCTTCATGGGGTCCTGCCGCGTGGGCTGCAGCAGCCCTTCGCGAGAATTCCGAGGGGAAGCTGCGCGACGTGGGCTCTCGCCTCCGTGAGCGCCTCTGCGAGGCGAATGTTTGGGGGGCCTTGAGCTGTTTGGCCAGCGAGATCACCGAACGGGCGCCGCGCGAGACGGGGGGCACGCCCGTGGGGGCGCGCTGGTTTCTGACTGTCGAGAGCGACGGCGCCGCCAAGACCAGGATCGCACTCTTGGGTTTCCAGGGTCATCGTCTTTGCGCTGCGGCGACGGCTAGTCCTGCGATCTCAGTCCGTGGACGGAACTTGGCCTTGCAAGTGCGCGCCATTCTCGAGCTCCGCCTCTTCGAGGGCGACGTGGGGGCCGTCTTCCTGCGGCCCCGAGCGCCACCCGCAGGAATGCTGGTATCACCTGTGAGAGAGCTTGGGGGGCCATGGGCCTGACGGAGGACGAGGAGGTGATGCTGCTCAAGAGAGCCAACGTAGTCTGCGACGCACCAAAGGAGTGGTCCGATGAGATCTCGTCCAGGATGTCTGTCGCCGGCTGGGTGCCCATGGAGTGGGGGCCGCGCCTGTGGGTCCTGTGCGATGGCCACAAGATCGCTGGGATTTCTCTTGCCCGCGTCGACGGCATGGCCGTCGGCGTCGACGAGGACAGCGTCTACGCAAACCAGAGGCTCAATGGGCTCAAGGGTTCCCGGAACGGGGGCGACGACGGCGCGATCCAGCAGTTCTTCCAGAAGGCCGCCAAGAAGGTCACCAAGATCGAGGGCTGGCAGAAGCCGCTCAAAGGAATGCTGGAAGACGAGCTAGCACCTGCAGGAAAAACTGCCTGTCGAGCAGCCAGTGGTGGTCCACAGTACTTAGCCAGTCAGGCGATGAGTTTCGTCGCGGCCGGCACGAGCATCGCAGCGTCCTACCTGAATGGGGCGATCAACGCCACGTTTCAGAAGATCAGCGAGATCGTCCGAAACGCTCGCGAGGTGGCCGAGATCTTCATCGATTACACACCGCCCTCTACGATATCCAATGTTCGTCACCTCTCGCGACGCTGACTGGGCTGATCGACGGGGCGGCAAACCCCGAGAGGGTTTTATCTTGGCCATGGCCCGTATAAGTAGTCAGAGGGCGAACGTTCTCAGGCCTCCCCGTTGCTGGTCTCCAAGAAGTGTCCCAGGACTACCCGTTCCATTATGGGTGGTGAGGTTCAGAGTGGCAACATGGCGGTTGAGGCGGCTATTTGCTTGCGTTCATCCTGCCTTGAGATCCTGATCGGCCAGGTGAACTTACGCGCTGCCCCTTCCAAGCTGCAGAAGACGACGGCCACCATTGTCATGGACTGCAAGGTCCCCTGCGACGCATTTATGACGAACGTGTGTGCGGGCTTAGGAGCTGATGATCGTCGGAGTGGGATCGAGGCTCTTGGTCTACGTCAGAGCATGGCTTCAATCAAGACCGCCATGAGATGGATGTACTCAGTGGCGACGCCCGCCGATGGCTTGACGAAGGGCAGTGCGGAATCTCGCGCAGTGATGATCGGCATCCTGACCCGAGGCTGGTTCAGGGCGACTCCTTCAAAGAGCCAAGAAACGCATGGCAGCGGGACGTCACGACATCCTAGACGACGGAGTGATCAGGGATTGCCAACCACTCCAGTGTCAGGAAGACGAGGTCGAGGATACACACATCAGCAACTGGATTGTGGACGAGTTCGGATACCACCCGATCGATGAGTTCAAGGAGGCAGGCGACCTCCCCGTCTGAAGCTCGCGGCGTTCCACAGCTTGTGTATACATGTATGTATGTATGTATATATATATGTGTGTATATATATATATATATGTATTGTCAACTTTCTCCTTGCCCTCTCTCTCTCTTTCAGGTGCTCGTGTGCGTACCTCAGCCATATTAGAGCAAGCTGCGGCCGTGTAAACGACGCACATTCAGAGTCAACGAAGCACACGTTGATTTGGAGACGGGGGACCTCGGGAGACTTCCCTCCGCCGGTTCCCCAGAATCGCCGCTTCGCCCGAGACGTCCTCACATGTTGTTCAGGAGCCGTGCTTTCGCGTCAATGCAGGCTACAGATGTTTGGTCTGAGCGGCCACGACCCCCTGCAACCAACATGCAAACTGCGGGACACATGGGCCTTGCTATCACCACTATCACACGGCCCCGATCCCTTGTAGAAAAGTTTACTACAGTGCGCGTGTCCGTCTTTTTCATCTTCGTGGTCGCTGCCGCCGTTTATGCCGCCGCGTTGCACGCATCTTTCCGGGAGCCTCGTCGAAGACATGGGCAGGCGGACCCCCTGGATACTGTTGGCGTTGCAAAGATAGCGTGCGACGTGGGCGCCGCCAGTCTCTTTATTTCACGCTATCCCCCGCCTTGGGGATAGCGTGACGCGGGGGAGGTTCTGGCAAGGGAAAAGCGTGCACTGGCGAGGCCCTCGCATGGGGATAGCCTGTGCAGCAGGGGCTCTCGCGGGGGATCGCCTCACACGGATGGCGTGTTTTTCGGAGGTCGATGTTGCGCGCTATCTTTGCAACGCCAGCCGTGCACGTATTGCCTCTGGGCTACCAGCCCTCGTTGCAGCCGCTGGAAGAACTGCGCCGCCGCCGCCGCCGTCGTCGTCGTCTCTTCCGCCGCCGCCGTCGTCGTCGTCGTCGCCGTCGTCGTCGTCGTCGTCGTTGTCGTCGTTGCCGTCGTCTTCGTCGGTGCCGCGAGGTCGATGTCGTCTCCGTCGTTGTCGTTACCGATGTCGTGGTCGCCGTTGGTGCCGCGAGGTCGACGTGCAGCCCTACGCTTTCACCACCAAATCGCTGTTCGTCGGCCACCTGGACCACAACTATGTGCGGTGGCAGGCGCCGCGCACGGCGTGGCCGCCTGGCATCCCCATTCTCTCTATCTTTCGGCTTCCCTTCCCTCCCTCTCTCTTCTGTCTCTCCCCTCTCGCCTCCCCTTCCCTGCTCTGCTCGGGAACGGCTTGAGCCGAAGCGGCGAAGGATTGTTGTTGTGTTGGTGGTGATGTTGTTGCATTTGCGCTGATGCAGGTGTTGATGCTGCTGCTGATGATGATGGTTGTGGTGGTGGTGATGATGATGATGCTGATGGTGGTGCTGCTGATGAAGATGATGCTGCTGATGATGATGATGCTGATGATGATGATCATGATGATGGTACTGGTGATGATGATACTGATGATGATGATGATGCTGACGTGGATGATGATGATGGTAATGTGATGTTGCAGATGCTGCTGCTGCTGATGTTGTTGCTGATGATGATTATGATGCTGATGCTGATGCTTATGCTGATGCTGATGCTAATGATGACGAGGATGCTGATGCTGCTGATGGTGATGATGCCGTTGATGATGATGATGATGATGATGATGATGATGATGATGATGATGATGATGATGATGATGATGATGATGATGATGTTGCTGACGATGGTGGTGGTGATGAGGAGGAGAAGGAGGAATCACATGAGGAATATTATGATGATGATTATACTGATGCTGATGCTGTTGATGCTGATACTGATGATGATGATGATGATGATGATGATGATGATGATGATGTTGCTGCTGATCATGATGATGATGATGATGCTGATGCTGACGCTGATGTAGCTGATGTTGCTGTTGCTACCGATGATGATGTTGATGATGATGATGCTGTTGTTGATGCTGATTATGAGGCTTAAGCTGATGCTGCTGCTGATGATGATGTTGATGATGATGATGATGTTGCTGATGCTGTTGATGATGGTGGTGATAACGACGATGCTGATGGTGCTGCTGCTGCTGCTGATGATCATGATGATGACGACGTCGAGGATGATGATGATGATGATGATGATGATGATGATGATGATGATGATGATGACGATGCTGATGCTGATGCTGATGATGATGATGATGATGATGATGATGCTGCTGATGATGATGATGCTGATGCTGATGATGCTGATGCTGATGATGCTGATACTGGTTTTGATGCTGTTGGTGCTGATGCTGATGCTGCTGCTGATGACGATGATGATGATGGTGATGATGACGATGATGATGATGGTGATGATGAGGCTTTCCTATTTCTAGAAAAAAAAAACGTTTTTACCCCTCCTCGGCGCACATTGCGTTTCCGAAGTGCGTGTTTCAATTTAAGTGCCCTACCAGAGAGTTGCACCCTGTTTTTCATGAGGGGCAGTTTTAGTCCTCAGACTGCGCCCTGGCACCCCAGTTTGCAACCACAACGGCTCCCACCTTACATTTCCTCACATATGATTTCACATTCGCGCTCTCGCGCGGAACTTCCTCAGAATCCATGCAGGAATCGCGTGTTCGCGGCGCCGTGCCCCTAAGACTCAAGACTCACGCTTTCGCTGTTGATTTCCTCGCGGTACCAGGCCGTTTAGGCCCGCCCGCCCGACGTGCCCAGTAGGGTCCGCCCGCCCGACCCGCCTGTCTGGTTTTGCCGCCTGTACTCCTGCTCCTAACCCTTCTCCTTCAAATCTCTCTCTTGCCCTCAGTCCTTGTCCCTCCCTCTTGTCTCTTTGCTCCTCCAGTCCTTCCCCTGTTTTAGGGGCTGCGCCACCTATACGCGGCAGGTCGGGGAGATATGCCCCTAATTGGGGTACGATCGAAGACGAAGAGGGCGGATATCAAGCGTTTGGGACATACGTGCTGAATGGCACGCGAGCAGATAACAGCGAACAGTCTTAAATTGATTATTGTTTTTGTTGTTGTCGTTGTTGTTGCTGTTGTCGTCGTCGTCGTTTTTGTTGTTGTTCTTATGGCTGTTGTAATTGATGAAGCTGCTGGTGACGAGGATGTGGACGAGGATGTGGACGAGGATGTGGTTGAGGATGCTAATGCTGCTGTTGATGCTGTTGGTGATGATGCTGATTGTGACGCTGATGCTGTTGATGCTGATGTCGTTGATGATGATGGGGGTGCGATGATATTCTGATGATGTGAATTACGCTGCTATTGATGATGAGACAGAGGATGAGTAGAAGTATGAGGATGATTCTGATACGGACGGGTGATTCTGGAGGTGATGATGATGATGCTGATGCTGATGCTGATAATGAATGCTGATGCTGCTGCTGATGCTGCTGATGCTGCTGATGCTGCTGATGATGCTGATGATGATGATGATGGTGCTGATGCTGCTGCTGATAATGACGATGATAATGACGACGACGACGGCAACGATGATGATGATGATGATGATGATGCTGATGATGATGATGATGATGATGATGATGATGCTAATGATGATGATGATGATAATGCTGCTGATGCTGATGATGATGAGGATGGTGATACGGTGGGGGCGTTGGTTAAGGAATGTGCCCAGGAGGCTCCAGACCCTGGAGGATTCCTTACCTGGTAAGGGCGGCGGTGATTTCCATGGTCAAGCCCCAGTCGGTGTTCCACCAGCTTTCAGACCCTGGGTTCCTTATCTAAGGGTTCCTTATCCAGTGCCCTCACCGTAGTGATGATGACGATGATGATGCTGCTGCTGCTGATGGTGATTATGATGATGATGCTGATTCTGATGATGATGCTGCTGATGATGCTGATGATGATGATCATGATGATGATGTTGATGATGATGATGATGATGATGATGATGATGAGGAGGAGGAGGAGGAGGAGGAGGATGCTGATGATGATGATGACGATGATGATGATGGTGGTGATGACGATGGTGGTGGTGGTGACGAGGAGGAGGAGGAGGAGGAGGAAGAAGAGGAGGAGGAGGAAGGGGATGAGGGAGGTGGAGCAAAAGGAATGCCATTGCGCTGTGTTCTCTCCATCCGCAAACTCGTGTCACAGCGGACCTGAAACTCCCAAACGGACCCCATCGTGTTATGAGCAGTCGGCAAAGGGGAGTTGCGTACACTGGAGGAGGAAGTGGCGGATGAGCATGAGCTTGAGCAGGAGGAGAAGGAGGATCAGGAAGGAAGTAGGTGAAGGACGTTGACGAATGGCAGCAGTAATGGCAGCAGCAGGAGCTGGAACGGAAGGAACGGAAGGAGAAGGAGGACCAGTTAAGGCGGTGGAGGGGAAACGAGGGGGGCGACAACGATGAGCACGGATGCGGATCCAGCGGCGAGAGCGCCATTCTGAACGACGGGAGCAAAGCGCCGATCCTGAATTGAGGCCCACGCTGCAGCGGGAGCGCCATTTTGAAGCATCGGCTTGGATCAAAACGCACATGAGAGACACCAGCTCAGACTAATCCTGTGCATTGGAAAACAGTGCTCGGAGGGGGGCGCGCTACTCTCAGCACACCTGGGGGATAGAGGAAACCAATTGTGGAGGAGGGGCTCTGTTGCAGGAGGAGGAGAGGGAAAAAGGCGAGGATCGCTACGGCTGTGCGTCAAGGCATGGGCGGGTCTCCATCCCCTGTGGAGGGCGGTTGCTCCAAGAAGGCTCCAATACGGCACAAGAAGGCCCCAAGCCGGCCCAAGAGGCCCTGAAGACGGCTCCAGGAGGGGGCCCAAGCGGGGGACCCGAACGGAACTTTCGAGCCCTCGGCCCCAAGAAGCCTCCAGGAGGCCCCAAGAGGCCCCCGAGAAGCCCCCAAGAGGCTCTTGTCATCTCTTCTCTTCTCTTCTCTTCTCTTGTCTTGTCTTCTTTTCTTTTCTCTTCTTTTCTCTGCTCCTCTCCTCTCTTCCCGCCCCTCCTCTCCTCTCTTCTCTTCTCTTCTCTTCTCTTCTCTTCTCTTCTCTTCTCTTCTCTTCTCTTCTCTTCTCTTCTCTTGTCTTGTCGTCTATTCTGTTCTATTATATTCTCTTCTCTTCTCCCCTTCCCTTCTCTTCTGTTCTCTCCTCTTCTCTTCTCTTCTCTTGTCTTTTCTTGTCTTCTCTTGTCTTCTCTTCCCTTCTCTTCTCTTGTCGTCCCTTCTCTTCCCTTCTCTTCTGTTGTCTTCTCTTCCCTTCTCTTCGCTTCTTTTCACTTGTCTTTTAGTTTCAGATAACGGAATGCGCGAGCTACGAGTGATGACGTTCTAGTGTGGGGCGAAGCCCTCTAGGGAGGGGTCCAGGGGAGGGGCGAGGGGGGGACGTTTGGGCGTCAATGGCCGCCGGGGGGCCGTTCCCATAGTATTTTTTCGAGTGAAGCGGCTCGCGGGCGCCTTTTACGGCCCGTATCTTTTTGTTTGTTCCAAGTGAAGCAGCCCAAGGGCCCCAAGGACGGCCCAAGTGGGCACCAAAACGGCCCAAAGACGGCCCCGAGAGAGTCTCAGATGGCCCCAAAGACGGTCCAAGAAAGCTGGGCCCTCCAGAGGGCCCTCGAGAGGGCCCCAGGAACCCCGAAACATGGATTTCCTTAGGATTTTTGAAGGATTTTCGGGTTCTCGCCTTTTCGGGCCCAGACGGGCCCAACACGGCCCACGAGGCCCAAAGCTCGTCCCAAGACGCCCCCAGAGGCCCCCCAAAGGGCACGAAAACGGTCCAAGAGGCCTCCCAGACGGTTCCCAGAGGGGTCCAAGACGGCCCAAGAGGGCCCGAAGACGGCCCAAGAGGGCCCCAAGACGGCCCCAAGAGAGCCCCAAGAGGGCTCCAAGAGGCCCCCAAGAGAGCCCTAAGACGGCCAAAGGCCTCCAAGACGCCCCAAGACGGCCCAAAATTGTTTGAAAAGGGCCCCCGAAGGGTTCCAAATGGGCCCCAAGAAGACCCCGACGAGGCCCAAGAGACGCTCAAGAACACCATGGCTCTCATCAGCGAGCGGTGACGTCACAAGCTCTTGACACCAAGGTTCCCCGGAGCGCGGTGACGTAAAGAGCTCGTCATACCAAGGCTCCCAAGAGCGAGCGGCAAAGTCAACGCCTCTGAACACCAGGGCTCCCAACGGAGAGCGGCGACGTAACAAGCTCTTCACACCAAGGCTCCCAAGAGCGAATGGTGCCAAGAGCCCTCTCGGGCAAGTTCCTGAGGTACTCTTTCCGTTTCCGTGGGAGGCTTCTCGGGGGCCTCATGGACACAGTTTCGACGCCTCTTGGGGGGCCGTTTGGGGGCCTCCTGGGGCGGAGAGCTCGGATTTTCGGTTCGTGTTCCCTCTTTTGGGCGCCTTGTGGGGCCGTCTTGGAGCCCTCTTGGGCCGTTTTGGGCGCCTCTTGGATTTTCCTGGGGCCCGCTTGAGCCGTTCCGAGGCCCTCTTGGAGGCCTTTTTGGCCGTCTTGGGGCGGTCTTGGTGGCGTCCAGGGAGCCGAAAAGGCGAGAACGCCACAATCCTTCAAGAGCCTCCGGAGAATCAATGACTTTGGCTTATTGGGGCCTTCTTGTGGGGCGTCCTGGACGCCTCTGGGGCTCTCTGGGGGCCATCTTGGGCGTCTTGGGGCGATCTTTCGACGACTCGAGGCCGTCCTGGGCCGGGCCGTCTTCGGAGGCCTCTTGGGACCCTCGGGGATCGTTTTGGGGCCCTCGTGGGCCCGAAACAGTCACGCGTCACCACGCCGGGAACCCCAGGGGCCACGCGCCAAATCCAAGAATACTTGAGAGCTAAAGGTAAGGTTCCTCAAGAGTGGGAATTGAGGCTCAGGGGATTGGGCCAAGGACCGGAGGACACGCCCGCTCCGTGCCCAGAGGCACGCTGGTGGACATTTTCCTGTATTATCATCGTCGTATTTTCTCCTCCTTTCCCTTTCCTGCCCTTCCCCTTCCCTTCCCCCTTCGTCCTTCCCTTCTCTTCCCCCTTCCCTTCCCCCTTCTTTCACTTTTGCTTGTTGATTCACTTGCCTTGCATTGCCTGTCCTTCCCTTCCCCTGCCGCCCCTTTTCTTCCCCTTCCCTCCTCACCTCGTCTCTTCTCCTTCCCCCTCTTCCCTTCTCTCCGCTGCTTCCCTTGTTGTACCTCTCTCTCTCTCCTTCGGCCTTTCTCGTGCCCTTCACCTCGCTCCTCCCCTTTTGCTCCCCTGCGTGCTTCTGTGGGGGGGGGGCGCGGGGCGCAGCCCGCCGGCGCGCTGCGCGGCCGCCCCGGCCGTGCAGGTCATCGACACGCCGGGCATCCTCGACCACCCGCTCGAGGAGCCGCGGATCGGCACGACCGAGATGGGTACGGAAAGAATGGGTACAATGCCCAACAGCATTTCCTGTTCATTTTGAACAGGACTCGCTGTCGGTGTCACCGCGGCCTGTGTCCATTTGAGACAGAAGGCCGCCTGCCCAACAGTGGCCGCTGAAGGTTTGGGACAGCATTTGTTGTTGGGTATTGTACCCATTCTTTCCGTGCCCATTTCGGCCTTCCAATGCGGAAGGGGGGGGTGGGGGCAAACGTCGGGGGAGCTTATCCATTCATGCTCGTTCAAATGCCGCCAGTCGCTCCTATGCGGGGCCTCTTCAGATCTGTGTTGGCCCGCTCTGCACAAGTGGGCCTTCGAGCCCTCGCTTGAAGGAGTGCGGCACGCATCGGTGTGCGACACCAGTGGCACGCCACTGCCAGCGGCAGCGACGATAGTTTAGTGTACGCTTGTCCTCGGCGCAAGAAGAGAACGTCGGAGGTCAGAGCTCCGAATCATCGGGGCTGGGGGCAGTCAGGGCCCCAGCCGGAGTCACCCCGGACAGCAGTTGTCCCGGATGACTCGGGCGTCCAAAAATGTCGGAGGCCCAGAGGTTGGCACCGTCGTCATTATCGGCGGTGTGCCTCAACCGAAGGGAGGTGATCCCGATCTCGCAGTTGTCCCGGATGACTCGGGCGTCCAAAAATGTCGGAGGCCCAGAGGTTGGCACCGTCGTCATTATCGGCGGTGTGCCTCAACCGAAGGGAGGTGATCCCGATCTCGGTGGTGGTGGTGAGATTGCGAAGGCCTCACGGCCGGTGCCGCCGACCCTGAAGGGGGACGGCGGCGGCGGCGACGACGGCGATCATGTCGACGACGCTGACGCTCTGGAGTCGGGTTCGATACTCGTCTTGGGGCCCTTCCCTGGGACCACCAGACGGATTTGTTCGACTCTAGTTCGACTCTAGTTTTACTCTAGCTCGACTCAAGTTCGACTCAAGTTCGACTCAAGTTCGACTCAAGTTGACGATTTTTCGACGTAGCATCGAAGCATGAGTGGAGCGGGTGGCTCCAGGAAGGTCCCCAGAACGAGTATCAAAGAGGGGGCGGATAGCGCTGGGGCGGGCACTGCACGTAACCCTCTGGGAGCCTCGCCGAAAACATGGCAAGTCGGAGCCCCTGGATGCGGTTGGCGCTGTACATGGGGGTGCGACGTGGCGCCGCCAGTCCGCTCATTTCGCGCTATCCCCCATTCCGGGGGTAGCGTGCACCGAGGAGGCCCTGGGGAGGAGGGAGGAGGAGGAGGAGGAGGAGGAGGAGGAGGAGGAGGAGGAGGAGGAGGAGGAGGAGGAGGAGGAGGAGGAGGAGGAGGAGGAGGAGGAGGAGGAGGCGGAGGAGGAGGAGGAGGAGGCCCTGGCAGGGGAAAAGCGTGCACCGACGAGGCCCTCGCGGGGGGAGCGCGTGCAGAAGGGGCCCTCGCGGGAGATCGCCTCACGGGGGTGGCGGGCTCTCCGGAGATCGACGTCGCACGCTATCTGTGACACGCCATCCGTACACGCAGTGCCCCACCCTTTGGGATGCCCGCCCTTGTTGCAGCCGCTGGAGGACCTGCGCCGCCGCCGCCGTCGCCGCCGTCGCCGTCGCCGTGGTCGTCGTCGCCCTCGTGGTGGTCGTGGTGGTCGTCGTTCGGGTCGTCGTTGTCGTCGCCTTTGCCGTGTCGTCGCCGTCGCCGTTGCCGTCGCCGTCGTCCTTGGTCCCCCGCTCCCCCCTCTCTTCCTCTCTGCCCTCTCTCTCGCACGCCGTCGCGCCCTTTCACACGCACTCCTCGCACTCCTTCCTTTGTCCCCCTCCCTCCTCCATGCCTCTCTATATCTGTAGTACTTCCCTGCCACACCCACAGCGTGTCGGTAGGGCGGGCTGGTCGTGATCCTGAAGCTTGACATCCGCAACGACTGCACTGATAGAGGGGTCGTTTTCAAAATTGGGCTCTTGCCTCCGCGCCGCGCACATTCGTCCACAAACGCTGCAGCAGTTACGGGGCGGTAGGGGGTCTTTTCGAAGTGGAGCTCTCTCTTCAGCGCCGCGCACATTCAACTCAACAACTTGCAGCCGCTGCAGGGATGGAGGTCGGCTACTCTTTAAAGTAGGGCTCTCGCCCTGGCGCCGCGGGCAATTGTCTTAAATGCTTGCAGCAGTTACAGGGGTGGGTTTCAAACTTGGGTTCTCGCGCTGGCGCCGCGCTTTTTCGTTCTACACGTTTGCAGCACCTGCAAGGATCACTGACGGTTCCTTTTCAACAGTGGGTTCCTGCTTATGATTTTCCCGGCGTTGGTCTTTCGAAGTGGCGCTTCGTGTTGTGAGCCAGCTTGTGCGGTGCGGACTTATTGGGAGGGGACTTGTGGCGTGTAAAAGCTAATGCAGTAAAGGATGTGTTAAGAAGGGGCTGCTGCTCTGCTCTCGTTCGTTCGTGGTGATGTATCCATCTCGCCCTGGCTCACGGTTGGGCGGGAGCGCGGACGCGCTGATTCCAACCGGGCTGGGGATGCGGTCCAAAAGATGCATCTTCTTTGGTTACAGTGGTAGCCTTGAGTTGGTGAAGTCTACGGTTGCGAGATGTCATGCGGAGTGGCCGTGCAGACGTACTTGCAAGCGCTCGTCTACCCACTCGCGTTGTGGACCCATTACCATTGCGCACGCAACATCATGAACGACAGCAGCTACTACGCGACGAGGAGCTTCAGCACCACCACTAGCTGCAGTAAGATCATCAATATTGCGTGTCAACGGTTCGACCAATAACATATGTGAGGAATAACTAAAGGGTGTGTCACTACAATGGAGATCCTGCCAATGAAAAATAAGCTGAATATATATATAGAGAGAGAGAGAGAGAGAGAGAGAGAGAGAGAGAGAGAGAGAGAGAGAGAGAGAGAGAGAGAGAGAGAGAGAGAGAGAGAAAGAGAGAGAGAGAGAGAGAAAGAGAGATAGAGAGAGAGAGAGAGAGAGAGAGAGAAAGAGAGAGCGATTTTCGATCTACACCGTGAAACTGAAGAGTTCATTCAGTGGGCAAGCGTTGAAATTCGCGCGTGAGAAGGCGGATATCATGACGGCTGAAGTTCCACGACAAGCAGATGATGGCCCGCGTGCTGCCGCAAGGTTGGTCGTCGCAACGGCGCGCGTGGCGTGCGAACGGATGGCGCCACTACATTGCCAACCGGCATCCGACGAGTTTTTCTTCGAAGGCATCCGCAACAGGCCAGAATCTGTGCAAACTGCATTTTTCGGCGCGAGACGAATTGTGATCGATTCAAATTTCTTTGGTTCTTCACATATTTCTGTATCTACCTATGGAAACCAGCGAGGACCTGCGCGCGTGCTTTATTCAAGTTGGCGAACATCAGCATGCAGGAGCATTGGGCAATATTCGGTCAGTGCAGCAACGAATGCATCTGGGACGACGTGGCCTCAGCGATGCAGATTCAGTTGGACATGGGGCCCGCCCCGCAGAACAATGCGACAAAGAAGAGGCCCTACTCGGAGATCAGTGTGGGCCCGGCGACAGCGACGGCTGCCAGAGCGACTCGGGCGACGACGCGCTGGTGGCCGACGCCGACGAGTTCGAGGGCGTGATCGACGATGTGGACCCGGAGCGGATCAGCCACGAGGAGTGCGATACCTCGGTGGCAGCGGCTCGACGACTGGGATGGAAAACTGGACGAAAGCACGCGGGCCCGATTGCACGCGGGCCCTGGAGAGGCTGGCTCAGGGCAAGATCAACCGAGGCTGGAAGGCCAACGTCATCAAACGCGGATACATCACGACGGGCAGCAAGGAGGCCGGGGATGTGCTCTATCATTTCAAGGCGCGCACCAAGTTTTACGCGTGCCAGATGTGGGGTCGCTGTAGAGATGGCCCCAACGGTGAAAATACAAGAGGATAGCGCAGCGCGAGCCGCGTGCGGCGACGCGGAGGCCGTGGTGGACGCAGAGGCCTCTGAGCACGACCTGCAGGTTTCGTGCGACGAGCTGGATTCGCAATGGCTACCGCGATCGAGCTGCCCATGGCGGATAGCTCCATGTAGCTGGCAGCCGCGCAGATAGTCGACGACCAGCTGTCGAGCGTGGATCGATGGTGGCTGAGGTCGCCGACTTGGCGGAGGTGGAGATGGGCGTGGGCCTGGGGGCCTCGAAGCCCTGGGCGCTGAACGATATGGATCGCGCGGGGCGCGTCCTGCAGGCTGGAGTACCGCCGGTGCCTGAGGATGCGGAATAATATTCCGAGCCGGATCCGACATTGGAACCGTATGCATCATGACGTGGCCAAGCGGTTCGCGTGCAGACCGTGGCGATGGCGTCCGTGTCGACATGGGCCGGATCCAGGTCAGGGCTAAGCAGATATTAGAGATGCGGAGAACATGTAAAGCTCAGGAAGTAGCCAATGGAGACTGGGTGGCGTGATGCGTGGACTGGGTGCGCCGTCGGCGATCGAGATGGCCCCGAAGGGGTTGACCTCCGCGGCCTGCGACGCACGCCGAGACGCGTGGGGCGACGCTCGCAAACTGCGAGAGGTTGTCAGGATGGCGCGTGGGGGGCTATCTCGAGAAGCGCGGCCGACCTGGCCGCGGCGATGGCAGCGAGCTGGCACGACGTGCGTTCCAGAGTGCCGACGCCAGAGCCGAGGTGGCATGCCGGGAACGAGGAGTTGGGGGCGCCCGACCGACGCGGTTAAAAATGGGTCATTCCCGAAGGGCATGTTGTGCTAGACGCAGCCTGTCCACGAGCGCGCGGGGCTCAGTGTCCCTGGGCGGCAGCGCCGAGGGCGGCAGAACCGCTGCGAGGACGATAAGATCACCCTCGCCGTTCCGAGGCGTGAGCGGCAGCGCCCCGGTCGCGACAGAAGGATGACAGCAAGTGGTCGCCGCCGTCGCCGGGGCTGAAGTGGCCTCGCGCTGCCAAGAACTGCCGGGGTCCAAGGCGCCGATTCTCCTGGGCGTCCACCAGACGGACGAGCTCGACGCCGCGGTCTACG